GACTGTATCCAGGATCTCCTACGTTGATCCCTTTCCGAGTGGCTGACAGTGGTAGCTGGGCACCATCTAGTTCTTCTGGTCTCAGGGTCATGTAGGCTGAGAATCACATGCTTTACTAGTCCCTTGGACTAATTGTTTCCATGTGTCTTTGGTTTTCTTCATTCTTCTTTGCTCTGGATGAGGCAAGACCAATTGTTACATTTTAGATGGCCGCTGGCAAGCTTTTAAGACGCCAGTCACTACTCACCAAAGTAGGCTGTAGAACATTGTTTTTGTGTAGTATGTTATGCCAATTGAGCTTGATGTCCCCCGCAACCATGGCCCTGACCCCACAGGCCCAACAACTCTCTCCCTCAGCATGTTTGGCTGTGGCCAAGAAGTTATCCTAACTTTTCCTGCTGCTAACTCCATTATATGTATGGGTATTCTTATAGCACACACAAATACATGTGTAGAAATATCATCTGCTAGACTTACAGAGGGTCATGGGTATATTCCCTTTAGCCTAGACATACCTGATCACTCAGCCTGTCTACCTATGTATCCACCCATAGATTAATGTTTGTTATTGCTGATAATGCAGTGTTGTGTATGTAAAAGTTCATACATTCTCATTTCTACACAACACAAGATAGTCTGGCTGATTGTAGCTCACCAGCCCTCTCCAGGGAGGCTTCTTAGGAGGCACTGCAGGGTGGATCCGGCTCAAGGGCTTTTCCCAGAAGGGGCATCCTCAGGTTGTTGCACAGATGCTCATAGCATTGCTTGGTAGACAGGAGCCAAACCCAGGGTGTTGGGCAGAAGGGCACCTGGGTAGACTGGACTGCAAATAGAATGGTTGCTGGTCTCCCCCACCCCTCCACCTTCAGCCAGGACATCACAATTTTTTCCCCCTTTTTTAAAAAATAAGACTTTTCTCTTTTGTAGAGCAGTTTTAGGCTTATGGAAAAATTGTGCAGAAAGCCTACTGAGGCCCATATGCCCCTGCACACTGCTTCTCCTAGTATGAACTCCTTGCACTTGGGAGGTACATTTGTTACAACTGACAAACTGGTACTAACACACAATCATTAACTCATGTCAATAGTTCACATTCAAGTTCATTCTTGGTGCTGTCCAGTCCCGTGAGTTTTGACAAGTGCGTAATGTCATGTGTTCACCAGGATAGGATCACCCAGAATAGAGCTGCTGCTCTAAAAATGCCATGTGCCCCCTACTCATCCTGTCTGCCTCCCCCT